GAAAGAGGCAGAGAGGTAAAGAGCGTGTGTGGTTGGGACTAAGGTAACAAGGCAGGAAAAGGAAAGGAAAACCAGCTGAAATACTGATAGGTGAGAAAAGGAATAGACAGCCTTCCTCCTCGGTTACAGCAGCCCCACCACACAGCTCCGTCCATCCTCTGCTAATGGGGGTCCTCATTTTACAACTTACAAAACTCAAGGAGGAACAAAGAGCACACCGAGGAACTCACACTGCAGGTTGCACTAACAAGAGGCAAAAGGGTTTTATAACCAAACACTTCTGTAGCGTCATAAAAATAAAAGCATCAACCAACCACAACAGTAAAGAAAGCACCATCCATCTTCAAAAAAGCAACAGCAACTTAATCAGCCGGTACAGGGAGCTATAGCACAAATAAAATCTGCTTGCCCTGCAATTTCAATCTTCCTTTCTGCCAGATGCTCTAATGTCCTTAAGGACCCAGTGCCTTCAAAACAAGGTCCTTCCAACCACTTGAGTCCATCTGTTACTGATTTTAACCCCTTAGTAACTACTATGCTTCCTGTAATTGTCTACACTCATTATTCTAATGAAGGAAAGCAACTCCCAAAGATACTTTGTTCCAGTCAGAACTTTCCATGCAAGAAAACACCAGGTGTAACCAAAGCTTATCCAGATCAAACCAGATCAGCTTATAGTTAACAGAGAGACATAAGGTAAAAAGGCACCAACTACAACATAGAGATTTTTCTCCCCCCCCCAACGTAGTTGTATTTAGAAAAGCAAAGTTTGCTTTTGTGGCTCATAGGACACGGCAGTCACTGAATGCACATTAGAGATGTGCAAATAAGAGTTCAACTTCCAAAGTGAAAAATGAAATCATTTTAGATCAAAAGACTTTTCAGTTTTGAAAGACTAGAATGAGGCACGATTCACAAAAGAGAGAGGGAGGAAGATTGTGGTGCTACCCCTTTTATTCAGTAGCATGATGGAGAGTTTCAACCAATGAACAAGTTTTGAAGGTTGATTGCCAAAATGGTTGGACCTGCATGGTGCTAGCTGGGATGACTAGCTCTGTGGGGAGGCATTCACCTAATATGTGAGAGAGCCAAGAGCAACTCCCTCCTCTAACCAACAAGGTTTGGACCAAATGTCTGAGATCTTCTGGGAAAGGCCCCTGAACACCATGTTTTCTGGAAGCGGAGTTGCTCCAAATTTTTCCCTAAATATTCGCTGGAGAAGGGACTGGGACCTAGGTACTTCACTCCCTGCTAAGTGCCCTAACAGCACTGTAAGAGTCATCTTCACAGCAAGTCTCTGTCTCTCTCTTCAAGAGTATATACAAAATTGATACAAAGTGGAACAGATCCACAAGGAAAGGCTGAGGGAGCACTCTCCTCCAAGTCCCCTGCAGCCAGTGGTCACTAGAATACCTTCCTCAGAGATAGGAGGACCCTGATTCACATCCCTCTGCTAACTCACAAAGGCTAGGGACAGACATGACACATAAACCAGTTTAAGTCATCAGAAACTGGTTTAACTCTTTAACAGAACAGAAATTCAGTGCACTTATGTATAAAATGACTGAAACTGGTTTAAAACAAGCCTGGTTCAATGTAGCATCAGACTTAACCAATTTGGGTCAAACCGGTTTATGCAATGTCTGTCCCAGACCCCTTCCTGGTTTAAGTTAAACCAGAGTCCCCCAGCATCCCAGATGCTTTGCAGCCCTGGGCTGGGCTGTCTGCTCCAGAGAACTGGGTTGACCCCGCTCCTCTGCTCCCTAGCCAGAGCAATGGCAGAGACTGTAGGCACAGCAGGGTCTGCCAGCTTCCCTCTGCCACACTCCCTCCTCGCTGCTTGCTGCTTAAGCAGGGATCCCCCCTCCCTCCCATCTCCCACAGCACAGACCCTAGGCATGTGGTATGCTAGCTAATGCTGAGAGGTGTTTGTGTGCGCGCGTCTCCAATTTCATTAGGACAGGGAGATGGAACAGTGTCTGTTTCGGGCTTTTTGGAGCTAATCAGCAGGTCAGCTGATAATGTTCCTCCATTCCTTCCTTGGAAAAAGCTGTTTAAGAAGAGCTTGAACTAATGAGAGGCTTTTGTTTTGTTGATAGGCTGATAAATGCAGTGTTATCACCTCCCTGCTGGCTCCCTCACCTGTCAGGTTTTCAGACAGTATGGAGAAGCAGGGAGAGGTAAATTGAAAAGCTCAGTATCATCAACAGATTCATGCACTGCCCGCCCCCTCCCCCCCTTTGCCTCAGAGTGCTAGCTGAGGCTGCCATCTGGCAACACTCTCGCCCCTTGAGCAGCAAGTGGGGAAAAGCCTGGAACTGTGCAGGCTAGGGTGAGGGTTTACACCCCACCCTAATCGGAGTGTCGTGCTGAGCCTGAGCACGCCTCCCTCTCAGCTCAGCACTGTACAAGGGAAGGGAAGGCTGCTCTAGCACCCCCCAGCTTTTAGCCTGAGCCACTGCAGGCATGTGCTTGCATTTCTTCAGTCCAGAGGGAATGTCTGTACAGTTGCAAACTGATTCAATCTAGGCAGGTTAGACTAACCTGCAAAGATTGAATCAATTCAGGCTCATGCTTTTTAAATGTCTGTCCCTAGCCAAAGACAACATATTTCAAAGCGGCTTTCCACCAGTGCACTGCGCTCTGACTGCCAACACCAGCAATCTGGATCTAGCTCAATCTTTATTTCAAATGAGATGTCCAGCAAGTATGAACTAATGACTAATTGTTCCATGTTTATGGAAACTACATTTTTGTTTAATTAACTATTTTCTTGACAAAAGTACCCTCCTGGCCTAAGTGTGAGCTTCCCCACATGTCTGAAAGCAGGCGTTACATTTTGTCTCAAGAATGTTGAGGTTTGTGACAATTTTTTCTCTCTTCTGGTGAGGCTAGGGGAAAGGGGAATTTGTGATCCTGATCCAGTCAGTAGGAAAGCTCCATCTCCAGCACTCCCAAGTCCCTAGAGGAACAGATCCAGTGTCCCAGTAGCATACAGATATGGTAGGTGGCTCAGACATACAGGAAGGAGAGGATCTATTTAATGATTTGGCAAGAAAGGCAGACAAGATTATTTGGATAAATCTGATATATTTTATTAGACCAGCTAACTAGTTGGGAAAATTGTTCTTTGCAAGCGTTCATGCATGGGAACCCTTCTTCAGGCATAGGGAGAGTCTGCTGGTATACGTCTTGGCTCAACAAATGGCTTTGAGGATTAAAATCCAAACGTGGTTTTAATTTTAAGGAAGCATTTTGGAAGTCTATCAGTTCCACTGGTCCATCAGGTGAAAACTGAAGTTTCTTCTAGGTTCTCAACAGTTCACAAGACAGTCATTTTAGCTATTCCCATTAAAATCTCTATTGTCTATTTGTCTAATACTAGAATTACTCTGACCGCATGTGGGAACAAGTCTTTCTTTGGGATCATATGCAAAGTCAGAACAGCAAAAACTGCCATCACATCCCTAACTTCAGTTATACTGCAGTACAATATGTGAGCATGAGAACTTGTAGTTCCTGAAGTATACACCCATTTCCTTGCTAAG